ACTAATTCAGCAAGGTAATTAAACACAGCCTCCATTTTTAAGAGGTAAACAATCTAAATTCAGTGAAGCAGTTTACACACTCAAGTGCAAGTTCTGTTTCGTATGTCAACTGAGTAACAGTAGAATTTTATACTTTATTAAACTAGAAAAAGCTAGCTCTATGGCTCTGTATAGTTTGCATTCTTGAAATATAGTCCACACAACTGCTCAAAAAGAAATTTTGCCCATCTTTTTAAATTGCATGCCTAGTTTATGTCAAGTAAAAGTAACTACTTAGTAGTTCTTAGTTTTTGAGAACACTACCAAATCTTACATTGATCAGCGCAATAAACATCATTTTGCAGTTTAAGTCTTCAGAACAGTAATTTGACTTGTGTCTTCCCATCTCTTCTACTTTACCACAATCTTCCCATTTCATGAAAGAAAGGAAAGAATCCAATTCTATCACTTTTCTGGCTTTAATATAATTATCCTAGAGATATAAAAATATATTAAACTGAGTGAGGCTGTTAAAAGCATAGCTTAAAGATGCCTTAATTTTATTACCTATTAGCTCAACATCCGTCCTCCACCACCTGTCCACATTCAGTGGAAAATACTAGTTAACAAAACATTTTTACTCCAAAATCCTGTAATCTTTGAACACTATTACCAAGTATCTCCAGAGCAGAGGTACTGGAAAAAGTATCAGGGTGCGGAGGGGTGGGAAGAACTCTGGTGAATTTAACTGTATGCTAGACTCTAACCAATCTGTCTGAGAGCAGACTCACGGTAATTCTTTTAGAGGCTTCTATATTACAGATGTCTACGTAACAGTTTACCTTTTAGACTATTAGAAGCATACACCATTGTTACAAAATTATTTATGACGCCCAAGTGCTCTTTCGCACTTTAGTAAAAGGAAGGTTCCTTGCCACGTGGCTAGAGTTCACCAGCGACACCTCTTCCACAAACTCTTTTGCTATTAACTCCAAAACCAGGCCATGCAGGCCAATGAGGCTGCATCCTGCCAGCCTTTGGTTACCCTAGAGCAATATTTGTATATGTTGGGCATGAATTGCCATGATTCAGCAATACAGCACATCTTAGTTTAGGACTGTAATACCTTCCTTTTGCATACTGTGTATTTAACCACAATAATGAGGACTGTTTTCCCACACATGTTAAACGAAATGCAAGGACACCCAACGCCTAAGGAACTGCTTGCAATACATTCTTTAAACAAAAAGGAAACCTCTGTAGCTACCTCCCCACCTTCTTCTCAGAACGAAATATCATTTCACATGCAAAACTGACTATAAAATACAAAAATTCTAGGCTTAGTAGGAACTGGACTCATCATCAATGTAACTAGGATGAAGAGACAGACCATCCCAACCTGAAATGGCCTCATGTCGCTCATTATTAGACACATCTTTCTAAAGTAATACTTTCCATGTTGGGCAAACTCAAAGAGCAGAAGCCAGCCCTTCGGGCAGAGTATCATTCTAAGATTGTCTTTTGCTGCAATTTTTTTTTTTTTTTTTTTTTAAAAAACACTGAGATGAATCTCAACTAACCATTACTCTACTTGCTCCCCATGTTATTTCTAACTGTTTTTTGCACCAAGAGACTGGCAGTACACCATTTTTTAATTAAAGTCATAACAATTTTAGGACTACAAAAAAAAGTAGATGGTTAAGCAACGAAGGCAGCTCAATCTAGAAGTTCCTATTTACAGTTCTACTCCAAACACAAGTATCTGTAGGAAACACCACAGAGAAGCTGGCATGTATCCATTTCCAGTGTAACACTCTGCAGGGACCTAGCTGGCCTGACTACAGTAGCAAACAAACAATACAATGCTTTACCTCAGCTGCTTAGTCCTGATGTCACTGCTCTTTCAAAAAACACAAGTAAGATCACTTTAAGTGAGCTCTATTATACCTATGCAATGCTGTATTGTGTTATACACACCTATCACTCCTACGCTGTGCTAATGTATCTACCAGACAGGGGTAACCTGACATACCACTCACAACAAACTGAAATTCATTCTATAAGTTTTTGTTATTGTTCTCCCCCCAGCCCCCTCCCCAACCATCTACGTCCTCCTCTGTCTTCATAAAACGGGTTCCTCAGAGCAGAAGCTTTCTTTTCCTTAATACAGAGGTCGCAGTATTTCCTTCCCATTCAGCCTTCCCACTTGTGGAAAGTGGGCTGGGAAACAGAAGTTTCATCTACATTAGCAAGCACTGAAGAGCGATAGGACAAGATGTGTAAAGTAGAATATTTGCTGTCAAGGACTGGGAATCTCCAATACATATGCTTAGGGAGGGGGATAACTTGATTTCAGCTCTAGTCTGATCCCATAGAGTGAATGCTTGTTAGCAGCTGAAGTGCATTAAGTTCAGTCCCAAAGCATATCATCTACTCAGACTTCATCTGAAAGTGACAGAGTTTGCAGGCTTTGAGACTGCTGTATGATGCAAACCTGGGCACAGTAACTGGAAAAGACTGGAAGATTTGCTTCAAAAAAGAAAAAAAAACACACACCACACACGCTCCAGATCTGAACTAAAACATTAATGTAGTTGTGCTCTAAAACCATGAGAACTAAACCACAATTTAAAATCTTGATTCATAGACTCACAGAATGGTTGAGGTTGGAAGGGACCTCTGGAGATCATCTAGTCCAACCTCCTTGCTCAACCAGGGTCCTCTAGAGCACATTGCCCAGGATCACATCCAGACGGGTTTTGAATATCTCCAGCAAAGGAGACTCCCCTACCTCTCTGGACAACCTGTTCCAATGCTCTGTCACCCTCACAGTGAAGAAGTTTTTTCTCAGGTTCAGATGGAACTTCCTGTGGTTCAGTTTCTGCCCGTTGCCTCTTGTCCTGTCGCTGGGCACCACGAAGAGGCTGGCCTCATCCTCTTGACACTCCCCCTTCAGATACTTGTACATGTTGATGAGATCCCCTCTCAGGCTTCTCTTCTCCAGGCTGAACAGGACCAGCTCTTGCAGTCTTTCTTCATAGGAGAGGTGCTCCAGCCCTCTAATCATCTTGGTAGCCCTCTGCTGGACTCTCTCCAGGAGTGCCACTCCCTCCACCTGCTGGCAACACTCTGCCTAATGCACCCCAGCATACCATTGGCCTTCTTGGCCGCAAGGGCACATTGCTGCCTCATGCTTAACTGGCTGTTCACCACGACACCCAGGCCCTTCTCTGCAGAGCTACTTTCCAGCAGGTCAACCCCCAGCCTGGACTGCTGCATGGAGTTATTCCTCCCCAGGGGCAGGACCCCGCACTTGCCTTTGTTGAACTTCAGGAGGTTCCTCTCCGCCCACCTCTCCAGCCTGTCCAGGTCCCTCTCAATGGCAGCACAGTCTTCTGGTGTGTCAGCCACTCCTCCCAGTTTAGTATCATCAGCAAACTTGCTGAGGGTGCACTCTGTGCCTTCATGCAGGTCACAGATGACTAAATCAAACAATGCTAGACCCGGTATTAACTGCAGGAGGACATCGCTAGCTACAGGCCTCCAACTAGACCGTGCCACTGATAACAATCAAAACTGATTGCTATTCAGTTTTCTACCACCACAGATGGAGAGAAATTACTAGCTCCAATTTGACCTGAAAAAAGGAGAACCTAAAATTTGAAATTTATGACTTATGAATAGCCAGATTTTGCAGAAATAGAGACTTAAACCTTAAGAATCTTTGTGCATGCTTTATGCAGAGTGAGTGAGTGAAACTCTTTCAGGTTAAAATTACTTCCTTGACTCAGGAACTTGGCCACACCCCTAAGATTATGTGGCTGTAGGGTTTCCATGTTGGTAATTTTAAACAGACCAATACTCTCTATACTCAATGTCTCTATACTCAAAACTTATAATGTTTATGTAACTCTAACTACAATAGTATCTATACTCTTTCTTAAGCTAGACTTCTAGATAGTTGATATACTTTTGGCAGTAGATAAACTGCATGAAATACTTCTGTTTCACTAGTGTGTGACTGAAACACAGAGAGATGAACACTGCAATCAATGAACAAAAAGCAGTAATGCCTTATTAGGCTCCAAAAACCCACTGAACATAGATGTAAATAGAAGCTGATGATATAAAGCTATGATTAAACACAGAAAAAAAAATTCCTAACCAATAATTTTTCTTAAAAAAAGCAGAATGAATACGACAAGATTTAAGGATTTCAGAATGATTTAAAAACTGATACTATAGGGTTTTTCTTCCCACATACTTGCTACATTTCAAATTTAAGCTTCACTGAACTAACTCACAATCTCCAGATGTCTATAGAACACTCAAAGGATGAAAACTGTTGAAGCATACTATAACTAAACATTCAGGGCATTCAATACAGAAGGCACTTCCAGACTACAATTCAAATACATCCATCAACCTTATTCGTATCATCAACTACCAGCCAAGTCCAGGCACTGCATTGGTAAGACATTCTACCTGTTTATTCTACACCTGAACTAGATCTTCCATGGCTGCTCACATTTAAAGAAAAGAAAACGAACAAGTCCATGAGCAGAAACACACAAATTCATAGCAAATGCTGGGTCTCATGGGTGACTGATTTTAGTGTTTAAGACTGTACAAAGCCCAAACTGAAGCTACCTCTCTAGTTAGGTAACATGAGTTCTCTCTTCTCTCGCCCTGCCAACATCCAAGAACACAAAGCTCACTATGTGTATATGCAGTCTTCCTCTTTTACCTAATCACATCTTGACTATTTCATAGACTTTTAAGAACTTCATTATCTGTGATAAATTTCTTTCACCAGTGAGGTCAAGTCATAAGTTTTGAACCTGCTATAAAGAAAGATAAATCATATAGCATCATCAGAAGGGTTTACTTCCAGAACGTAGCAGGAATTAAAAAGAAATAAAAGGTGTTTGCATGGCAAGTAGTAACGTCCATGATGAGCAGACAGAAAATAAACATAACAATGGGATTGGACTATCCATTGCTACCTTCATTATACTTACATAGTAAGGTTCAGCTTCTCTTTCAGTTATCTCATCCTGATACAAAGTGAAACAGGTTGGTATTCGTCCAAACCACACATCTCGAAGTACGTCTTTGTCATCTGTCATTCTTCCAATGGATAGTGAAGCACATGTAGATCCGTGTGTTTCTTCAACTAGAACTATAACCCCATTCCCCCCCCCAAAAAAAAAAACAAGTCAGCGCTATTGCAAATAAAACGAAGCAAGCTACAGATTTCGCTCATAACTACATTATGCAAGCATAGTCAACAATAACACTGAAACCAAATCATATTACCAAGATGTTAAATGCATTAAATTCTACAGCAAAGCAGGGGCGAGTTGGACAGAAAGGCCTTCAAGCTAACGTGCTTTTAACTAGAAATACAGAGCAGATAAAGAATAAATAAGCATTTTCTAAGCCTGCACCATGCCCTGCCCACAGAGGCGAAAAGGCCTGTTCTTCCTTTCCTCCTTACAACGGCCTCCACTCACTCCGCAGCTCCTAGGTGCCCCCCGGCCCTCACCGAAACGTGGGTGAGCAGCCCCGGGCACGCC